AGGGAGGTGTATCGGGAACACCAGGAGCACCGCCAGGAGAACCAGGCTCTCAACAACATGGGCGTCAGGTGAGAGAGAGAGAGAGAGATAGAGCTCTCCAGCTGTGCAGGTGTAGCTGCGGCTACAGGTGCACAGGAGGAGTGACCGGCCCGCGGTTGAATAAACATGCCGTGCACCACGAAAAAGGCTTTGTTGTCTCATGAAAAATATTCCACGCACTGGGTCAGGCCCGCGGTTAAGAAGAAAAATGCGTTGAAACCTAATCAGGGTCAACTCGGTGACGTAAAATGTCGAGCAGTGGAGTAAGGAACACAGCCAGCTCCACCAATTATCCTACTCTTAGGCTCTGTAGATAATCTAAATAATTGTCCTGTACTCCAGGTGGTGACGAAATAAGAAATCCAGCTTCGAGGAAACAACTGCCTTGGAATCAGGGCGATGATTCTCGACAGCAGTGTGAGGGAGTTATTGCGTGTCTATTGCGAGTTTAATGCCCCAAGATATCATTCTCCTCCTTGAAGTTTTTTTTTTTCACCCTTGACAAGAAAAACAGTATATTCCGGCAAGGCTGTTTCTTACAGCCGGCTACACATTTTTTATTTCACGTTTTGAAGCGGGAAATGATGACGATTTTGGATCGGATGGCGCGTTTGTGATTTGCGTTTGGAAATGCACACCACACTGACAAAACCATTGGTCGCGGAGCAAGTACTGGTCGAAGCGAGCAAGTACCTTCGTAACGAGGTCATCAAGGACTCCCAGAAATCCTCGGAGCCTCGTGCGGCCATCCCAGCCATTGATAGGCGATTGCCGTGTGGCCGGGTGTGCTCAAAGCAAAATGTTGACCAGAGCTGACACATACCGCTTGCTGTTCAGACCCACCCGCTAAGAGACACAGCATCATCCCAACACACACAACAAACACATCCGGTGAACAAAATCTTCATTTTGTCGCTCGCTAGACCACCCCTCCCCTCCTGCTGAAACTTGCTAGGGTGTGAGAGCCATCAACCTCTCTCTGTCGGAGGGAGCTGTGCCATCGCTATGGGTTGTTAGGTCGGTGGAGAGGGACGGATGGCTAGAAAGCCACCGGTGACACGGCAAGAAACCTGTACAGCAGTGAGCGGCATGTCATTTTTCGAACAGCAGTCAGTGGACCCTCGCAACTTCGTTTCTCAGCCTCCCGGCGTGTCGCGGTCTCTGACAACCTCCCCGCAAGAAGCACCCATACACACAGCTACGTGCGGCTTTGTCGTACATGTTTTGAAGAATCATTCAGTGAAGAGAGGTCGATACGAAACCAGACCTGTGGCGACCCGATAAACTGTCAATGAGCTGTGTGTTTGAGGGGGGGGTCTTTTTCGAACAGCAGTGGACGCTCTCGCCAACTTCACTTGTCAACCTCCCAGCGCCTCACGGTCTGTACCAACCACCGCACAAGAGGCACATTACTCACCGCTACAGGGGATGGCTTTGCTATTGCTGTTATTTCAGCCGGTGCACAGATATGCCCGAGAAACTAAACCGACCGGGGATGACGTGTACGGCTGTAACAAGTGGAAAAATCAGAGGGCCGCGTTTGACGGCCAGCAGTGCAACAAAAACAATACCGTAGGTTGCACTGTGTGAAGCATCTCCACAGGCGTGGTGTTCTTTTTCTTCTTGATCAGAAATTGCACTGTTTTGACCTAGAAAAAACAGCGACCTATAGGAAACACAGCCTAAAAACCGTGTTTTTCTTTTGTGTGTTGTTTTCAGGGCGATGACCCTAGACAGCTAGACAGCAGTGAGAGGGAGCTGTTGCGTGCCTCATGCGAGATGTACCGCCCCCAAAATATCGTCATTCTCCTCGTGTGCATTTTTTTTTTTTTTTTTTGTTGACAAGAGAAACAACATTCCCGTGACAGCCGTGATGTTCTCTGCGATGTAACCAGGGCGATGACCCTCGACACTGTCGGGGGGCGGCATAACCTGCCCGAGGTGATACCGGGTGACGAGCGAGAAGAGCTCGAGACGGAGACGGAGGCTAGCTTCGATCCGGTGAGAGGACTTTTTTTTTTTTTTTCACGTCCCTTAACGAAAGCACACACGTACATGCCGATGCAGCAAGTGATGGTATGTTTTTTTCGCGTGTACAGTATGTGTCTGTCTCATCCTGGTGTGACACGTCTCTTTACGAAAACACACACGTACATAGATACGGGACGTGATGGTATGTTTTTTTCGCGTGTACAGCATGTGTCCGTCTCATCCTGGTGTGACAAGTGCATGGGTGCAGGGAAGAGTGGAGGGGGGCAGAAGCACCATGAACCCGGGCTGTGCAGGCAGCTGTGTCGTGTGCAAGCGTGATTTCACTGCTTCAGTTGGAAGATTTCAGCTAAGCAGTCATTTGAAGAATTCCGCGAAACAGGCAGTGGTGTTATTGTTGCGCTTGTCCCACCGCCCCACCGAAGCACCGCGTAAGCCCGGAAGTCCGGTTCGACTCGGCACCACGGAAGTTTGTTTTAGCCTTGCGTATAAATTGGACAGCTGTACTGCTATTATGTGACGCGACCGATAGCGCGGCGTACACGAGTCAGTCTTGTACGACCACGCTCCTGAAACGCCGTTTTTTTTACTACAGCGCTGAACGTCTCGTTTGGTACGTTGAGGGTGAGCCCCTTTGCCTTCTGCACACGCCCGTCGTTCCCATCTTCTTTCTTCACAGTCAAAGCATTCAATCCTCATTCCAGAAGTTGCCATCTCTTGAGTGATCCTTAACTACCTAACATATTTCTCTCGTTGCTTCCCCCCCCCCACCCCCCCCACTTTAATTCCGGGGCTCCCCCCCA